CTCCATATGAATTCGCCAAGGTTGTAAGCCAGTGAGCCCGTGCGTTTTTGTGAAGCGGTCATATTTGAAGGTGTTAACAAAGAAAAGGGAAAACCCGCAGCTCGCCTTTCACTCACACAAACAGTTCAAGTCGTGCCGAATTAATTTACATAACTAAACAAAATTATTATAGAAATAAAACTTATCGGAATGCTCATATGAAACATTTTCCACCTTAAATACACACGTGCTTTTCAGAAGGGAACTTCTTTTTTCACGATGGAATTTTGTTTTGAGTCGTTTCGACATAAACAGTCGCTATCAAGACATTACACGAAAAACCCCAGTCATCGTTCTACTAGCTCTCGTCGTATAGTAAGTTCAAAGCTAGTAAATGTGTAACTAACCTGTTACATAGCGTCAAATCGTCGAGCACGCTTGCGGCTTATTGCCGAAAATGCGACAAAGGATGAACTACGACAGTTGATTTGTACCAAAAGTAATAAACGCTTTAACTCTATTGGAATAGATGGAGATAAGCTGCTCTAGCTCTTCCAGTAATGTTATAGATACCTCATAGCTTAGAGGAAACAAGAGCTAAGAAAAAGGATTTGCAATGTCTCCGCCAAACATACTTTGGACTTGAACGTCGCTTCAACGACCTTCTGAAGTCTTCTTGAAGTCGGCCATTGCTTCGCATGCAATGGAGAACCCGCGCAGAACACAGAACAATTATTTTTATCAGGGAGGGGAGTCTCGTTGTCTTAAAGAAAAAAATTGTTATTTCATTTTTAAGATAAAATTCTATTTCTATAACGATAAATATTTGATTGACATTTAAAAGCTATTTTATAAAGATTTTCAATTTCTCTTTGCGTTTTAGCTTCGATTTTTCGGATGGAATAAAATGAAAGGCAGCTAGCCTACTCTACTGGATCGAGTTTTGCAGTGCAAATTCCTCCTGTCAGGGGGTTATGTTTACAACATAAGCTTGTCAGCTTTGCGATGATTGGCTAGTCGCATTTTCTCAAATCACCCAGATCATTTACGGTAAAAAGTTTTTAAAATCGAGAATCCCAAGTCATTTCGAAAAATTATAGTATCTTCAAAGGATCTTTTTTTCTAGCAATTTTTACAAAATTTCGATTTTGCCGCTACTTGGGCCAATTTCAAGTCAAAATTGATTCGCATTTGGGCTCACTTTTGGAACCCACTTAAGACTAAATACGCTGACGATTAATATGAAATTCTCCAGTAATAAAAAGCAACTAGACGCTCTTGGAGCGTGAAGTCGGACTAGCTGTTTTTGAAACTAATGGAGAAAGACAGGATATTACATAACTAGACCCTGACATCAGGGTGTACTCGTGTCCTAAAGGTGTTGAAAAGTGCTGGYTTATTCAGTACTTTTCAGATTGAGCTCATTTAAAATGAATTTTCCGTTGTTATGCAGAGTTTATTCATTCATTGTGTAACGGTATGTTGTTTATATAAGGGGCACAAGTATGATATAACTGTTTATATAGGCAGTGCATTTGCACGTTCCACGTGCATTCCTAGCAAGGGTATATAAGGGCTGAAAACGGTTAATTTTGGATTTACGCCACGTGAATGATTGTCTTAGGAAGCTTCATGTCAAATATGAGGATTGGAAGGTGGCACTTAATTATTTCAATCCCGGTAGTTTTATGTTCTCGTTTGATCTGAAAAGTGGCTATCACCATATAGAAATTGCAGTAGAGGACCAGGCTTATCTAGGATTTTCATGGAAATCGAGCAAAGAAAATTGTCCAAGATTTTACATGATCACCGTGTTGCCATTTGGATTGAGCGCAGCTCCCTTCATATTTACAAAGTTGTTAAGACCACTAGTGAAGTATTGGAGACTGCAAAACAATAGTCTAGCTCTTTTCCTTGACGATGGTTTGTTTCTAGAATCGGATTATGAATCGGCGGTACGTCTAGGTCGTAAAGTCCAAGGGGATCTAAAGAGTTCAGGATTTGTTACGAATAATGAAAAATCTGTATGGACACCGTGTCAGAGAATAACCTGGTTAGGTTTGATTTGGGAWAGCGTTAATGGTACTTTAGGCATAACCCCTAGAAGGGTGGAGAAAATGTTAAACACCATTGATAGTATAATCGGTCAAGAGTACATCGTTTGAGCAAGATTCTTAGCATCCTTTACTGGTCAAATGATTTCAACGGGTCCTGTCCTCGGTAACATTTCACGTATATTAACTAGAGATTGTATTCTTTGGATTGCTGCGCGGAGAACTGGGACGAGAAAAAGCAATTAGATTCGTACTGTGTTCAGGAAATTCTGTTTTGGAAGGAAAATATTAGTAACATGAAGGTACGGAATTGTTTTGTTGAATCCAAGCCACATTGTATTGCGTATTCCGACGCCAGCAGCACAGGCTGTGGCGCCATAGTAGCATTAGACCAGGATCATATATGTCACAGACTGTGGGAAGTGAGTGAAATTTCCAAAAGCTCGACGTGGCGAGAGTTTTAACTAAAGTGCTATTCTATGTTCACTGGAATCTTTTGGCCCGATACTCGAGAAATCGCATGTAAAATGGTTTACAGACAATCAGGGCGCAGCGGAAATAGTGGAAGTAGGAAGTATGAAGGTTGACTTGCATGCTTTAGCTATAAACATTTTTCAAACGTRTGTACATAAGAATATCGGATTGGAAGTAGAATGGATACCTCGTACGGAAAACGAACAAGCCGATGCTATAAGCCGTTTCATAGACACAGATGATTTGCAGCTTTCCGCAGGGGTTCTTTGAAGTAATCGAAGGAAGGTGGGGTCCCCATACCTTAGACTGTTTCGCTACGTTTTATAACAAGAAAGTAGACAAGTTCTTTTCGAGATTTTGGAATCCTGGAACAAGTGGTATCGATTTTTTTTGTACAAGATATAAGTGGAGAAAATTGCTTATTGGTTCCCTCTGTTGTCCTGTTACCTAGGGTTCTACATTACATGAAGGCAGTTAACGGTGTCGGCACAGTCATAGCGTCATTGGCCTTCGTGGTGTTTCTGGCCTTTGATCCGGGGGGTCTATGCTAACTTTGTCAAGGATTCCATTACTGAATGGGGTAGGGTAGCCCTTGTTCATGGGCGTAACACTAAATCCCTACTGGGCTCGCAAAAATTTTAATGGAATGGTTATTGCCTTTAGATGCGATTTTTAGTGAATCGGTAAGTGGGTCCCTGGCTTAATGTATTTTAGGATGATGTCGCCGCACTAGCAAGGATTCATCGAGTAGTTTACTGCGCTGGCAACGATCTATGGAGTATTTTACTGCACGAGCAGCTTCGGCCGAATTTTCCCGAACTCGTAGAAGAGAGAAAGCAGGATGTTCTTTAGATGGTGTCAACTCAGAAAAGTATCTACTGTGATACCGTTTTGCACGAGGATAACTATCTATTTATTTGAGCTCTCCACAGATGGAATTCGAAGATCTGGGAACATGATTAGCCGACGTCACGCTGCACTCAAATGGCTTCACTCTTTCTGTCCTCTAGCAACGATGAATCCCTTGGATAATGGAATATGTAGAAGCTTGGTGGAATCTGCGAGGCGCGCCAAGAAAGCCCCAGTCAAGAAGAAAGAACCTTTAAGCTCAGCAATAATAAGAGAAATAATTGATATGTATGGTAGCACGGATGCTAATCTGAAAGATTTACGTTTAGCAACGTTATGTTGTATAGGTTACGCTGGTTTCCTTCGTTACGATGAGTTAAGCAATATTAGGCCTATAGATCTAATTTTCGATGATAAATGTCTAAAAATAACAGCCAGTAAAAGTAAAACTGACGTTTATCGTAAGGGAAATACTGTATTNGTATAAAGAAAGTTCATCCAATGTGGATGCGTATTCAAATTTAGTATAAAGAAAGTCCATAGGTTATGTAAATCATTTATGAAATAAATGAGAAGAGAAATATTATATAAAAGTGTTTTCTAGGTCTGAATAACAACTTATCTTGATTGCACGGTCACCCTTCTCTTTACTAATAAAGATCTTCCCATCTACAGTCCACACATTGTACCACTTGTTTAGTCTTGCTCTCTTCCGCGTTTCTGCGAACAATTTTCTCTTTGGCGCTGTCAGGTTCTCGTTGATATAGATCTGATCTGCACCGTCTAGGAGCTCACTGTCCCATACTGTGCCCTTTAGTTTGCGACGCGCAAAGTAGAGTTGGGATTTCACTTTGTGGCTTTGAAACTTCACTAGTATGGGCCTTATGCCATTTAACTTAAAAGGGAGGCGATGTACAATATCAATATCGTCTTCTTCTATCTCCACCCCCGCGTATTCAGCTACTTTTATTACAACGTCATCTAAGTCTTCGGTCCTTCTTTCTGGGACTCCATGAATTTCTAGACTACTCTTTCTGGTATACATTTCAAGGTCGTCACCTTTGCTTTCTAATTCTTCAGTCTCTCTATGGTAACTTTAAGCTCAGCATCATTGATGCGGGGTATTCTATAGTTCCAATCTTCCTTTTGACAAAATCTAGTTGAGAGTTCCTTTGTTCGTTGAACAGAAAACTAAAAAGAGAGTAAAGTATCTATAATTCGACATTAATGACATTTTCCGATTTTTTTTCGACTGGATTTACATTCTCCCGTGATTTCGCCGAAATCATTTTAACTCCCGGACAAATAGTTTTTCGTGACATTCTGTCCAGGAGTTCGTCCACAGAGACGTGAAAAACCTATAAGTGTCACATCAATTGTACGCTATGCCGAGCGACGAAGAAGCTTTGAATACGCATAAACAAAGACAAGTTTTCTTTCTGGCATTGTGTTCATGCCCCAGTGAATTCTTAGTTAGTTGATAACTAAATCTTATTAGACGTTGATAGACCAATCTAATTGACCTAATTGTTTTAATTTGGACTGCCTCTAGTAGAGTAGCCAATCAGAACGTTGAATTTGCAATAGTCCACTAGTACGGTAATACTAAATTTCGGGCTTCTTCGTCATCGCTTATCAGTCAAAAATTGTCCAAGATGTCACGTGACATTCACATCTTCCATGTGCTATCTCGGATTTCCTATCTTTTTAAAAGCGAACTCTATACAAAGTTATGCAGGGTCAGAAACTACAAAGGACTTATCTAAGGAATGTCATCAGAGTTCTAATGAGCCAAAAAAAAAAAAACACGATTGGAAGTATTTTATTACGCGCAAAAGATAAACGACTCTGTGTCAATGGGGTGTCAATGGGGGTACCCAAAACTCAGTTAACTACTAATTTTTGGGTCAAAAGTCAATTAACTACTAATTTTTGGGTCAAAAGTCAGTTAACTACTAATTTTTGGGTCAAAAGTCAATTAACTACTATTTTGGCCAAAAGTCAATTAACTATACTAATTGTTATAGTTTTACTTCCGGTGTGTCATTTCCGGTCATATATGTATGTCATGATTGCGCATTTCAGCCCGTGCCTCGTGCGTTGTTTTCAGTCAGCCATCTTTTCATTCATGTATACTCGGTTTAGTTAAATAAAGCTTAACTTCAAACCACAACATGGTGCCAGAAGTGGTGATTCGCTAAAGATTAGGCTCACTCATCGTTTGAGTAAGGAAAATACCAGGTCGGTATACTCATTCTACACGAAAACAACAACGTAAACATGGCCGAACTCACAGGACTTCCGAGCCCATCGATGGACTGGAACGCTTCTGATTTACCTCAAGCCCTAAAAAAGTTCAAAGCAACAGCAGAGTTATACTTTACTGGACCCCTCAGCTCCAAGAGTGAGGAGGAGAAAGTAAGTTATTTGCTCATATGGTCCGGAGACGAAGGGATTGAACTTGTGTCAACTTGGTCGCTAACTAACGACGACAAGAAAAAATTGAGCACGTACTGGAAAAAATTTGAGGAATATGTCGCTCCTAAGAGCAATTTTCGACTGGCAAGGTATAAACTACGTACTTTGAAGCAACAAGAAGACGAATCTGTCGATTCCTTCATCAAAAAGGTCAGAATTCTCGTTAGTGAATGCAAATATGACAGTGTAGACGAACACATAATCGATGCTCTAATATTTGGTTCATGCCGCCCACGTGTGCAAGCCAAATTACTTGAATACGACGCTTCCCTAGCACTCAACAAAGCTATTGACATAGCTAGGACTGAAGAAGCTACCAGCTCTCAGCTCCAGGATATTAGAGGAAGTGCCAACCTCACACCTGTTCATGCAATAAAACATAATCCCCAACCAGCTCAGCGTAAATTACAACCACATGACAAAAACAGCCATGTGGAAACTGTGGAACATGCCACGATACATCTCAGAGAACTCTTTGCCCCGCGTACGGCACAAAGTGTAATGAGTGTGGTCGACAAAACCACTGGGGCAAAGTATGCAGATCTAAAGGCAACAAGGACCAAGCCCCCAAAGGAAGAGCAAATAGACACAGAAGAAATAGACMGAAGAAACAAATACATTCTCTGGATAATGATGCAGATGACAAAACAGAAGATGCAGATGTGCCACAACTGTATTTCAATTCATTGTTTGTGGACAGTATGTCCCAACAAAACTCACAAGCCTTTGTTACCCTACACGTCAATTCTACGCACGGAGCATTGCCACTGAAATGTAAAATTGATACTGGTGCAGATGGTAACGTGATTCCTGTCAGCGATTACAAGCTTATATACCCTGAAACGCTCACCAACACAGATGGCAAGCCCCTNAATATTATATTGTGTACGTTATGTTAAAGTAGTATTCAATAAAGCGAGTGTCTGGTTCCGTAGCGAACCAACCATTTATCTTGTTGTTCTGTCTGTACTCGGAATTTAAACGGAAAATATTTTACATTCGTTTGAACGCAGTGAATTAGAATGTAAACTTTTCTCTTGTTCGCCTATATGACCAACCATGTCTTTCTCAATTTTCAAAAATTGCTCGCCCGAGTTGACGCTCTAAGCGGGTCTGGTTTAGATATAAAAATCTACCAAAGGCATTCAGTTCATCTATAGGAAYTGATATCAAATATATCAAGAGTAAAATTTGTGAAATTAACTCCTTGTTGATTACATTTAGCAGCTTTTGAAGGAACTAGATATACAATAATTTTTGACAAATCTTTAAAAGCGTAGACACGGTATACATCGCACGGCAATGCAGACGTGACTCAAATCGTTCACTCTGATAATGACTTTTGTATGAGACAAAGTAAAAATATGGATAGACTTATTCTAATTATAGTAATTTAAAGTTCAAGTATACCCAGTATCAGAATCAGACACTTTGGCGCCGTGGCCCCGCTCTACAAAATCTTCATCTAGGAATACTCCTCCGTGAAAATGAACTATTTGGCTCGATACACTAACCTTTATGACTTAAACCAATGTCCTAATACATGCTCTTACACAGATGAATGTTTTGGAATGACATAAGGTCTCGAATATCCAAGAATTCTAAAAAGCTTCAGTGACACTCCTGTTCTATCCTTGTTCTATGACACGCTTGTCATTTACAGCCGAGTTCGTAATGTGATATTTCGCTTAGAGATCGGAGGGCGATCGGGAGACCCGATGGCAAACTTCTGACATGAAAAAAAAACAACAACAACAACAACAACAAAATTATACGCGATGCATTTTCTGACACTTGACCCGGCCTAGGGCCTTTGCATATTTTGAATATTTGCAATACGGATATGTTTCGCGCTGCCAATCGTTTTTGATCGGTTGTTCTACAATAAGCTATGCTTTCCGTTAAATAATAATAAATAAAAAAAGAGTACAGTTATCAAAATAGGGCGTACAATTCTTAAGTTTAGCGTGGTGTAGTGTATGAAATATAAAACATTGTGAGATGAAACGTCTCAGGCAGTGATCTGTGTTTTGCAATATCTATCAGAATTTTTCTGTGCCAAATCCAAAGCATTGGCCTGATCAAATGCTGTTTTAAGATCGAGTTGTCTGTTCTCTAGCAGTCTCTGCCGTATAAGGGGGGAATATAAGACCGTTAATGAACGAGTCACGGATTAAGGTTACTCCCAACTAACGGCGAGTGAAATTTGTCCTTTTTTAAAATCGCTCGCTTCGCATCAAAAATGCTGGTATAGTTCTGATTTTCACATATGTGATAGTTGAATCCTTAAACCTTCTGGTGTTGTATCTAAGGTTTTAATCTGATGCCGCGATTGCCGACACAAGTCGATATTCAAACAGTGGTCTTAAAATTCTTTGCCTTTTTGTGCSCGCAAAAATCCATCGATTTCCTTTAAATTTCAAAGTCTTAATGTRCAGATMATCAGCATTCTATGTTTGAAAAATTACAAAAATCCGCCGACTGAGACCGTCGCTACAAAGCCGATTTAAAAAACGCGCTTTAAAACAGTGTAAAGAAAACATTCAAAAGTAAAAAAATTCAAAACGACAGCTATACAGCTATACTTTCATATTTTCTGGAATTCTAATTCAATTTATGCTTGTTTTGCTGTAGGAATTTTTGTTTTGCTGTTAGGTATTATGCAAGCCATGTATTTTTAGTTTAGGTATAGCACTAAAAGCGCTTGAAATATTGCAAAAACATAATAATAATAAAATGTTACTTCCACGTATAAAACGCTTGAAATTCTGAAAACGACTGTGTTCTCCAAAGAGGTTAGTCCTTGACGCTATGCATGGCTCTTTTTCCAGCCTCAAAGATATTTGGTTTCAATATACCGAAGTCAAATCAAGACAAGTCCAAGTTTGCATCGAAATCTAAATTTCTTTCCAGGTTAATGAATTCATATTCGATTGTCTTCGGCAGATCGGACAAGTTTCGGTTGACCGCATTCTTGCATATTTGACATAAATTAGCTACAGAGGCAAATAATGGTGGGAGGGGAGGAGGGAGGGGACGATTTTGTACATTCTCTTTTATCTCGTAAGAACTAGTAAGAACTTTAAGTTATATGAGCATATGTATCACAAATATTATCACAATGAAATAAAACAGGATCGCGTCTTTGAAAACGTGCCGGTCCACGAACTCAAAGTTCTTACTAGTTCTTACGAGATAAAAGAGAATGTACAAAATCGTCCCCTCCCTCCTCCCCTCCCACCATTATTTGCCTCTGTAGCTNGCGACCCAGCAGCAAAGGCAGAAATACTTGAACAGTATGCTGACTGCTTTAAAGGTATCGGGTGTTTCAGTGGTGAGTTCCATATCACACTGGACCCTGCAGTACCTCCTGTCATTCATCCACCACGAAGAGTCCCTGAAGCATACCATGAGCCTCTGCGAGAGCAACTTGAATCTCTCGTACAACAGCAGATAATTGCAAAAGTCGATGAACCTACAGACTGGGTCAACTCGCTGATCTGCCAGTCTAAACGGGACGGCTCCCTAAGACTATGTCTTGATCCCAAGGATCTCAACCGAGCAATCAAGCGCCCACACCATCGTACTCCAACCCTTGATGAAGTTCTCTCTAAGCTTAATGGATCAGAATTCTTCTCCATCGTGGATGCTCGAAGTGGCTATTGGAACATTAAGCTAGATCATGAAAGCTCACTTTACACTACTTTTAATTCACCCTTCGGGCGATACAGATTTCTCCGCCTTCCATTTGGCCTCATCTGTGCTCAAGACATCTTCCAAAAGAAAGTAGACGAGACCTTTGGCGACCTGCAAGGAGTCACAGGCATCACAGATGATATTATTGTCTATGGAAAAAATCGTCAGGAACATGATAACAACCTTAAGGCTATAATGGAACGTGCTCGTGAAACTGGTCTTAAATTCAACGCTGACAAGTGCAAATTTGCCAGCAAGGAACTTGTTTTCTTTGGTAACACTCTCAGTGCTGACGGTCTAAAGCTCGACCCAAGCAAAATCAAAGCCATTGACAACATGTATCCTTCAGGAAGTCTAGTTGACCTTCAGACATTCCTAGGTATGACACAATACCTTAGCCGATTTATACCAAACCTTGCTTCTACAGCCGCAGTCCTTTGGGACTTGACCAAGAAAATCAGTGAATTCAGATGGGGACCTGAACACCAGAAAGCAGTACAAGAGATAAAGAAGCTTATCGTATCCCCAGCTTCACTCCAATATTTCGACGGAACAAAACCAGTGATTGTCCAGGTAGACGCATCTCAACGTGGCCTTGGTGCTACACTTCTTCAAGAGAAAGGACCAGTCGAATACAGAAGCAAACTCCTCACAGAGGCTGAAAGAAGATACTCTAACATAGAGAGAGAAATGCTTGCAATAGTTCATGGCCTAGAGAGGTTTCATTACTATGTGTATGGACGTCACATGGTTGTCCAAACAGACCACAAACCGCTGGAAGCAATTTTCAAAAAACATCTATCAAGTGCGCCACCCCGTATTGCCCGGATGATGCTCCGAATTAAAAAATATGATGTTGAAATCAAGTATGTCCCTGGTAAGGATATACCTCTCGYTGATGCACTCTCACGACTTAACCCATGTCACGGTGATGCAATCTCCGGCCTCGTTGTTTCGATACACGAGCTACACCGTCACCTCAACGCTRCCCCAACAAGGATAAAACAGATCCAAGAAGAAACCATGAATGAAACCGAACTCCACACACTTCGTGCAGTAATTTCTCAAGGATGGCCTCATAAGAGATCTGAATGTCCTACAACCCTACACCCATACTGGAACTATCGAGATGAACTTACTGTCACCGATGGACTAGTACTTAAGGGTACACGCATTGTGATCCCCAAGAACCTGCAATCAGAAGTTCTTCAGCAACTCCACTATGCTCACCAGGGTTCTGAGAAATGCAAACTTAGAGCCAA